CTCTCTGTATCTCTCTCTCTCTCTCTCTCTCTCTCTCTCTCTCTCTCTCTGCGAACAGCCGGATCACAACTAATCGGCTCTCGATCGCTGCGGATCACTGTCTGGGCATTGGTGCTCAGTGCAGCGCACTGAAACCACATGAGTTGTCACTGCTGGCCAGTGCTGCTCGGTGACGGTCATTGGTAATCACCGGTGTTCCCTGGAGATCATGCTACCCACCGCTACTGAATGCGCTGGAGTATCTGATTGCTGCTTAGTTATTGCGTTATCAATGATTGTTTGTTGCTGGTTGCTGATGCTCACTTGCAGCGTAGGTCTGCCCTCTGCGTCACGCTGCGTGACAATTGCGTGCTGGCTGAGTGCGTGCTGGAAGCTCAGTGCTGCGCGCTTCTGATCCTTGCTGCCCACCAGTGCTCACGGCTGGTCGCTGCTGCATTGCTCGCTGGCCAGCCCCCAGTCCCAACAGGAATCAAAAGACACGTCCCAATCTATCTGACCTGCGCGTGTCCCCCCCTCCACGATACGCATGTGCTCCTGCAGCAGCAAACTGCAGCGATGATCAGGGAGCAAGCAGCGGTCCAGCAGTGGGCACTCAGGAATTAGCGGTGGTGGGCAGTGAGCAGCTTTGAACCCCAGCGATCAGCACTGGTGGATCAGAGGGCAACCGGCGACCGTGGACACCAGTGATCAACAGCGAGCAGCAGTTGGCACTTGCGTGCAAGCAGTGAGCAGACGGTGCGCAAGGAGTGAGCCATGCGAACTGCCTCGAGGTCTGTGCGCTGATCGACCACGGTTGCTATGTGATGGCTTGTTTGCGTCCAGTGTTGGACTGGTTGTTCACCGCTGCCCAGTGCTGCTGAATGGTCGTCCGTTGTGTCAACCTACAACCATTACACACATGCGAAACGATTCAAACCAACGCCTCCCGCGCACAGTGATGTTAAAAGGCGCTCTCTTCTGCGCACTGGTGCTTTCATTGGGCCCATGCTTGCTCGTGGCACATTGAGCAGCGGTGCTGCCAACCACCTGCTGACATCTAATGGTCGCTGCTTATTGGTGGACCTCCACTGTCCAATGCCGCTAAATTCTACATCTGGAGCGCACTGGCGCTCTCTTCTGTCCGCTGATGATCTTGGCTTGTCGCTGGTTACCCTGTAGAGACTGGAAGAGGCCGCTCGTGAGATTGCCGGACCTTCGCAGACGGGATCGTAAGTCCAGTGGCGCGGTGCGCTGCCGCCCGTCGATTGGGAACGTCTCAGCGCACTTTGCTGCGCTCGCCGTCCGATGCCGCGAGCAACGACGGCTTGAGGGTTCCGTGGCGCCCCTCTCATGGGTGGCCTGCGAGCCCGCGGGCCTGCCCGCGCCCCGCTGCAGCAAGGTGCGCCCGGCCGTGCCGCGTGGCGCGCAGCTGCCGCGTCTCGCGTCGCGCAGCGCTTCGAACTTCGGTGCTTCGTCACGGCATTCGCACGCGCGGGGGATCCTCTCCGCTGCACGCTGGCCAGATCGCCTCGCGGTGCCCCGGTTTAGCTCTGTCGCTGGTGCAGCCATTCTGCCTGGCCGCCGACGGGAAGCGTGTTGGGCAATGTGTGACAACGTGCTCGGATTCAAGCAGCGCAGCAGCGCTCGAGGGATCCATGTCATGGCAGTATTGGGTGTCCACCACTGGCCCTACTTTGCTGCCCGACATACATGACACATGCACCACACACACACACACACACACACACACACACACACACACAACAACTACACCACGACTATACCACACATATTCCAATAATACGCCACACGTATGCAAACAATATGCGAAACGTGCACCACACATGCGCCACGAATGCCTTCGACCTCCTCTGTCGCGCGCCAGGCGGTCTCAGAGATTCCGCCCGCGGCCCCAGGAATACAAAAGGACCGCGTGGGATTCAGAAAGGAACAACATTGCAGTTCTGGACCCCCCCCCCCGGGGATTGGCAATCCCTGCCTGGAATATATTTGAGGCTCTGAAGCGAACATGCATAGAAGCAGCTCAGCACACGCCAAACATACAACACGACGTACACCGAGCATACACGCACATACACCACGCATGCATGGAACATGGGCCAGGCTCATCGTATGGTTTTGTCGTACTCGCTGCGTTACCTCGTGGGGTGCAGGCGTCTCTCGGTTTACGCTTGGGTTTCGCGCCAATCGGTGGTCGTGTTCCGTGTGCGTTTTCGGAATGCGCGTTGCGCCATCTTGCGGACCGACCGTGCTAGTCGACGGAGAAGACGGGGGCTTTGGCGATGACAGACCAGTTGCCCCAAGTGCCTGCCAGCTTTCCATTGCTCGGACTCTGTCGCTTCAAGACAGCGCTGCGCGACTGTTGGCCGCCCCAGTGCGTGGACCGAGATCCCGCGTGCGGACACTGTCGTACTCGGCCATCGCGCGAGCCAGTACTTTCATCGCAAAGTGTGGCGTTGGCGCCCGCGCGCGGATGATCCATGAGTCGAAGTGGCATTGAAAGGCTTGCAGATGTTTTAAGAGTCTTGTGTCGGCGGGGAAGAGGTCCCTGCCAGTCTTTGCTCGCCAGCATTTGGACTTAAGGAATGAATCACTCGATTGCCGCTGGCTGTCTGTTTCAGTATTTACAGGTTGGCCGCCGCTGCGCAGTGCTGACCAGTGCTCCTCTCTGTCTGCTCACAACAAATCGCTACTTTGCACTGGTTCACAGTGCTGGGTACTGATAGATCTCCGCTGGTTAGTACTTCCAAGAGCTGACCACTGGTTCTTCCTGCCACTTTCAGCGGATGTGTGCTGTTCGCTGCTCACCCACCGCTGATCAGCGCTGTGCAGTTCTGATCAGCATTGTTCATAGGTGGGAGTTGCTGCGTAGTGTTGCTCACTGTCGCCCACCGTTGTATGCTGTGATTCCACTGCTACTTCAATGATTGCCCGCTGAGGCCCACACCATGCTGACTTCTCAGCGCGTCTGGTCACTAGCGGTGACGGCCAGCCAAATTCTTGCACGACTGCTCTTCACACATCACTCAGCGTTGCCGAATGCTGCTCGTTGGTGTTCACTGATGCTCGTGGCTGGTTTGGGCTTACTGGGGCGCTCTGCTGCGTACTAGATGTCATTGCTGCGTGCTGCCAGCAAGGTTTGCTCATTGGGTTTTCAGTACTGCCCAGTGCTACCATTCAGGCTAAAACTTGATTTCCGTGTTGCTTAGTATTGTTTTTTTTTGTGCACGGTTGGTCATTGATGCTCATTGCGTGTTTATTGTTGTTCATATTGACCATTGTTGACCACTGATGTCCACTGCTCGCTGCCGAACGAACCATCGCCTTGGTAACCAGCGCGGCCCGTTGACGCCGACGATACTGTCGACGTCGACGGACGAGGACGACGAAGGCGACCGCGATGATGACACTGGCGACCGAACCCACGACGATCATCACTAGAACACAGCATGCGAGGAGAAGGAGGCGGACAAGCAAGAGGAAGAGGAAGATGAGGAAACGCAGGAGGAAGAAGAGGAGAGGTGAACTGAGTTGGAGGACAAGTTGGAGGAGGAGGAGGAGGAGCGGCGAGCGGCTGGGCAGGCAAAGGCGGCGGGGTGGTCCACCTGTTAAGACCAAGGACGGGGGAGTCCACGCACAACTTTCCAGGGTGCAACCGGGGGTGGTGATGGCGGCTGTAGTGGTGGCAACTGGGGGGGCAACGCCAAACAAAATATCTTGATCTCTCCACCCCCTCCCCCGCCATCTGATTTTCTGTTGCCCCCCGAACCACCACCCCCGCGGGGCAAAACCGAGCAGCTACACATTGATCGCCCACTCTCCCCTGCCAGTTTTGTTTTGCCCCCCTCCCACCCTTCTCCAGCCAACGCCGCCGCCGCCACTGCCACCGTCGCCGCCACCACCACCGCCTCCTCGGCCACCCATCGCCACCACCACCACCACCGCCCCATCCTCCTTCCTGCCGCTAACTTAACACCCCACCCTCCTCTCTTCGCCCCTCCCCTCCCTGCACCGCTGCACGTCAGCCGTGCCCCTGCTGAGAGCTTTCCCAGGCACCGGGGCCGCTACTTGAGAATCCCTCGGTCTCCAATTCCGAGCTGCGGCTCCCGTCGAACAATCGTCGCTCTCGTGGGAACGAGCTTGCGTGTGCGCGTGCTTGCGCGCATGGCTCATAATTTTGCGTGTGTGCGCGCGAGTGCGCGTGTGCGTCCGCGTGTGCGCGGGTGCGTTTATGGGAAATGAGAGTGCGTGTGCGCGCGGGTATGCCCCTGTGCGCGAGAGTGTACATTCATGCGGGTTTACGTGCGTGTGCGTGTAGGGGGTGGCTTCGTATATTTTCACGCAGCATGCGGGCTGGGCGCGTTCGCTTTCTTCGGGAGCAGGAGAAAGTGCAGTGTTTGCGAGTGTGCGTGTGCGCGGATCTGTGTGCGTTCCCACATTGGAAGCGCACACGTAGATGGGGCTCGGATGGCGTTCATCGCTTCTGGGGGCATTCGGAGGATGGCGATTGCAGCAGTTGCCGTGGATGCGTGAGTGGATAAACGAGGCACTTCGGTAAATGCTGGAGTGTCTCACGCTTGCAAGCTCAGATGTTGATGGCGCATTGTTTGTGAATCCGATCCCCTTGTCTCCCATACGACATCCCCGGTCTAAATCCCCCCCTCGCCTCCTCTGCAACATTCTCCCGCTGCTACAAGCTTCGCCGCAACGAACGAGAAAAATCTGACGTCGCGCGGCGGGGAGCTTGCCCACACTTTCCAAAGCTAAAGCCAGCGCATGGAGATGCGCGGGCGGGGAGGCATTCGGCCAAAAGCCCAGTGCGCCCGTCAACTTTGAAAGGTGCCGCTCAACATGGAGTACCCAACACAACTCTCCACTTTACAAGGGACCGCTCGACGAGGACGCATCGTCAAACGCCACCCGGCGGCGCCGCCTTCATTGCGACGAGTTTTGTAGGTGACGCAGTACGCGGGGAAAGTGACACCCCGGCCGGCGCTCAGGTACATCATGGACGCGGGAGAGGGCGACAAGCAGACAGTCGATTCGGTGAGGGTATGGTTCAGCAGCTTCTGGGAGGCGGCGCCGTTGGCCGCCCCTCGCCTGGATAGCTGAGGGGTGGTGATATCACGAGCGGCGCGCATATCTTCATGAAGAACGATACAGCCCCTCTAACCCTGACAGCGCAATGAATTCGTGGCCTAGCTTAGGTCCTCAGCTTGTAGGGTTGTCCCTCGGCATTTGGGTGGCTCCGCCCGTGACCTCTGCAAGGAAGGCCCCCTACGCCGATGTTCGTGGCCTTCCTGACTTACGCAGGCCCCATTCTAAAGAATCCTGGGGGCCCGACCGCAGGAAGGCTGCCGCAAGAAACCCAACCCTGGAACCCCGGGACGTCCATTGGTTTTTGGTGTGGGAACGTTACGCCTTCCATCGCAGAACCATCGAAACCCCAAAAACCTGGGGCACCCTGGAGGCAAGCAGGGTGTTTCTTGGCATGGCCCCCCACTGTAGGAGGGGGAGGGGGAGGGGGAGGGGGAGGAGGGGGGGGGAATGGGGATGGGGAGGGGAGGGGGGGGGAGGGGGAGGAGGGGAGGGGGGAGGGGGAGGGGGACAAGTTAGGTGCGCTCGCGTCAACATCTGACATCCTACCCATCCCTCCCATCCCTTGCCATGGCGCTGATTTTCTCTTTCCGCGGACGCGTGTCGTAGCGGACCTGTGGCTCCGCGCGCGTGTGCGTAGTGGGTGGTGGTGCGCGTGCGTGCGTGCGTGTGTGCGTGGTTGTGGTTGTTGTTGGTGGTGGTGTGTATGTGTGTGTGCGTGTGTGCGCGTGTGCTGTGGTGTGACGTGGTGTGGCGTCTTGGTGGTTTGGTGGTGGGCCAGGTGCGTACGTGCGGGATGGCGGCGGTGGTGGTGGTGGTGGTGGCGGTGGTGGTGTGTGTGTGTGTGTGTCTGTGTGTGTGCGTGTGTGTGTGTGCGCGTGTGTGTATGTGTGTGTGTGCGTGCGTGCGTGCGTGCGTGTGTGTCTGTGTGTGCGCGCGTGTGATGTGGTGTGACGCGGTGTAGCGTGGTGGTGGTGGGTGGGGTCGTGCGGTGGTGGTGGCGGTGCGCGGTGGTGGTGCGCGTGCGTGCGTGCGTGCGTTGGTGGGTAGAAGTGGCGGTGGGTGTGCGTCCGGCGGGGCGGGGCGTGATGCGGCGCGGTGGTGGCGGGCGGATGGGCGCGCGAGAAAGAGGCCCGCGCTGGGGCGAGAACGCCATCCTGAACGACGGAGGCAAAACACCGATCCGAAAATGAGGCCCACGCTGCAGCGGGAGCACGATTCGGAACGATTCGGGAGCAGAAATGAAGCTGGCGCCTCAGCGAGAGCAGCATTTTGAAAAAAAACGCAGGCGAAAACCCAACTCCGGGGAATCGTGTGTGTGTGTTTTTTTTAAAAAAAAAACAGTACGCGGGAGACGCAAAAGACGTCATCAGGGGGGGGGGGCGAATACGCAAAAGACGTCATCAGGGGAAGAGGGGGAGTAGTATTCATATTGAGTAATTGTTAAGTGCGAGGAGGAGGAGGAGGAGGAGGAGGGGGAGGGGGAGGGGGGAAAGGGGGGGGGAGGGGGAGGGGGACAAGCTAGGTGCGCTCGCGTCATATCTGACATCCTACCCCCCCCTTCCCATCCCTTACCATGGCGTAGATCCCCTCTCTACTGGCACAGTCGGATGTCGAGCAGGGCAATGATCCCGAAAGGGTACGCGATGCATTGTAGAGCACGGCGTGGCATGGCGTAGAAGAGCACCGCAAAGCGCAATATGTCACAGCATGGCGTGGCGTGGCGTAGTGAAGAATGACATCGCAACGCTTTGCAACGCAAAGCATGGCATCGCACAGCGGCCCCGAGCAGAACATTGCATAGCATGGGCTTGAAGATCAAAGCGTAGCATGGCATAGCACGACGTGGCACTTAAACACTGCATATCACAGCTTCAGCTGAAAGCATGGCATCGCGCAGCGGAACGCAGACTAGCATTGCATGGCATGCCGTGGCATGGCACGGGAAATGACGCCAGCGCTGCAGCGGGAACACGATTCGGAACGAGCGGAAGCGCGGAAATGAGGCCAGCGCTGCAGCGGGAGCACGATTCGGAACGAACGGAAACACGGAAATGAGGCCAGCGCTGCAGCGGGAGCACGATTCGGAACGAGCGGGGCCCGAAAATGAGGCCGGTGCCTCAGCGAAAGCAGCATTTTGAAAAACATGCAGGCGAAAACCCAACTCCAGGGAATCCTGCGTGTAAACAAACAGTACGCGGGGGGGGGCAAACACTCCCAACCCGTCATCAGGGGAAGGAGGAGAGTAGTATTCATATTGAGTAACTGTGGAGGAGGAGGAGGAGGAGGAGGAGGAGGAGGAGAAGGCCTGGACTCCGAGGCGCGCCCATACGGGCACGCCATTCGCCTTCGCCTCCCGCCCGCCCCCCTTTCGGAGGTGGAACAGGTGCCCATACTGCTACCCCTCCCTCGGTTTTCCCTGAGATCCTGGCGTTGCAAATTTTTCCCAACCGGCGTTTTCACTCAAGTTCGGGCCCCGGGACCCTCACAGATCGATCTGGTTCGACAAATGAAGCAGAAAGTCGGGGTCTAGGGCTTCGGGCGTGATTTTCTATGATGTTGCAATTTTTTGCGCAACGTCGGATCTCAGCGTTTTCCCCTTTTCGGGCCTCCTGGGAGGCCCTCGTCGCCACCGCTGGATTCGCCTCGATGTTTTTGGTGGGAGCGCACCCCGGGAGAGTCCGGGGAGCAGCGGAATCGGTATTTTTTGTGTCCCCACCCTCCGTTCATTCTCCCCTTCCCCCAGGGAGGGAGTGTCCAGGGAGGCGAAGAAGAAAAAGCGCCATTTGGCGTTCCGAGCGGATGTCTTGGATCCGCGCTGGGCCCCTTCCGCGGCGGCGCCTCTGGCGCCGCTCCCTGGCGCGCGGAGCGCGCCAGGGAGGCCAGCGCAGATCCAAGAAATCCGCGCCGAGCGCGAAAGTTTTATGTTGATGGCATTTTTTCTTCTTCTAGGGAGGGGTTGGGTTAGACACGGTGGGGGCGTCGCTGAGGAATGTGCCCAGGAGGCTGCAGGCCCTGGAAGATTTCTTATCTGATGAGGCTGCGGTGATATCCAAGGGCGATCCACGATTGGAGCTCCACCAGCTTCCACACTCCAGACCCTGGGCTCCTTGTCCAAGGGTTCCTTGTCCGATGTCCCCGCCGTAATCGCAGAAGCTTCCGCTCGTGTCGGATTGAGTGTGTATCGGCGCATAGCGCCCTCACGGGCGCCCGATGGCGCCCGAGTCGTGCACCAACAGCGCCATGTGAGGGAGATGCATTCTGTCTGTTCTGTGCGCCTGGCCGCGCATTGGGCGCCGTGGGGACGATCAAGAGCTGCCGTGAGTTGCCTCACAATCCTCCGTTGATTTTCTTACTCCCAGACGAGACTGGTGGCGTATGCCCAATTCCATGTCTCGCCACCCATCGTTGTTATCGTCTGTCGGCCAGAAGTCGTCGCGACGCGTGGATGCGACTCGTGCATCAAGGCCAGGTCGAATCATCCATCCCTGGTATTTCTTGCACCTATCGCATACGGTCAATTTGGCATCCCACATCCTTCCGTGGTTGCGATCATTTCTCTAACGGATCACCTGAACATGATATTGTCGATGGTAAAGACCATGTGATGTCCGTAAATGTGTTAGCGCCGTCACCACCAACGACGCCGTTACAGGGTTGCCGAGGCCGCCTTGGAGTACCCTGTGGCCCTGTTGAGGCCAGCTTGGGCTACCTTGGGCGTGGCTAGGGGAATGGCGTGTCGTGCGCACTCTCAAGCATTGCCCTTCTCCTTCACCTTTCTCTCTCCTCCTCGCCTCCTCGTCATCCATCGCCTCTCCTGCCCCTCCCGAACCACCTGCTCCTCGCCCCCGCGGCGAGTCGTTTCTGACCCTGTTCAAGGTGATCACCGGGGGCATCAACTGGCAAGACGTGCACAACCCCCTCGAGAGCGCGTCTTTCTGGTACGGACCTGCCTCCTACGCCTTGGGGGTCCAACGCCGCCCGGCAGCGGGGGGGTCGGAGGGGGGGAGGAAGGGGTAGGCGGCCGCGCGGAGGTCCACGCGGGCGGGTTCCGGAGCAAAACGACGACGCATCATCTCGAGTGTTGGCTCTGGTGGGGGGCTAACGGGGTATTCCGTTTGCATCTGGGGGCCCGCTCACGTGGGCGTCGCCGATTGTCCCGACGCGCGGCTTTACCTCTTGGGGGGACGCCCCGACCAACATGGCAAACGCCGCCCCAGACGCAGGGTTTGCAGTGAGGTTTGCCGCGGTGCCGGCTTCGTCTACCTGCGCGTGTTCAGAACAAACGTTGTGGCGATGTTTTGTTGTTGAATGGGTTTTGGCACTGCTCCCTATCGTCAGCTCATTGACGTGACGCTCTAACAAGTTTAGAGTAAACTTAATCAGCTACGGTATAGCTATTTGTAGCTACAGTCCACACTGACAGTAAGGATGTCGGCATGGCCTTCTGAGACCCTTGCATCCTCATCGCGCATCCTTGCTATTCGTTTTGACTGTATCCGTGATTGAATTGTCTTGGCTGATGCTGGCTGTTGCCCCTTGAGCCTCTTCTGGGAGGCGTGGGCTCTGGCCCTTCGGGCTCCTGCCCCGATTAGTTCTTTCGACGCATCTCCTCCGTATTCCGTTCTCCCTCCCCTGACCCTGCTCTTTTCCTCATTCCACATCCCCCCGTTTTGATCCCTTATCCCATCTTCGTCTTCTTCTTCTTCTTCTGCTGCCGTTCCTCCTCCCCCCTCCCTCCTCGTCACTGCTGCTGCTCCTCCTCTCCCGTTCCTCCCCCCTCCCTCCTCTTCACTGCTGCTGCTCCTCCTCTCCTGTTCCTCCTCCTTTCCCTTTTGCTCCTGCTCTAGCTCCTCTTTCCCTCTCCCCCCGCCTCCCCCTGCTCGTGCTCGTCCTTCTGCTCTCCTCGTTTCCTCCCAGGGGGGGGGGAGCGTCAGCATCTCGGCGATACCTCGCCGGTAGATCGGCGACAGGTGTTTGATAGCGAAACCGCAAGCTCTTGGGCGGAGTGGGGCTGTCGGGCCCCTGTCGTCGATGAGTGTAGGGGAACGCAGAAGGACAGAAACATAACAACTCGGAGGTCCGCGCGGATTTCTCGGATCGGCGCTGGACCCCCTCCCTGGCGCGCCGAGCGCGCCAGGGGCGGCGCAGGAGGCGCCGCCAGGGGGTCCAGCGCCGATCCGAGAAGTCCGCGCGGACCTCCGAGTTGTCATGTTTCTGTCCTTCTGCGTGCCCCTGGCAGGGGCGATGGGAGGTCGGTGCGTCCCACCCCCGGAGCCCACTCCCCTGGACGCTGCCCCTGCCCCTGCCCCACCCCCCCCCCGCTCCGTGCCCGCCCTCTTCGCCGGCCTGCCTCCCCCCGCCTCCTCCTCTTTTCCGCCCTTCGTTGCTCTCGGGATGTCAACGCCACGTATCCACCTGACCGTTGCGTTTTGACGATCAGGAATCGTGCCATGACGCCATTTTGTGGTTTCAACACCGGGGATCAACATACATGTAGCACCCGTATGATCCCGAATCCTTCCAAAACGCCATATTTGGTACGTTGATCATGGAAATCCGTGAAACCTTGCAAATGTTTTAAGACGAATGCAAGCGGCGCTAAGGCGAGAGCCACATTTTGAAAACCACCCGCCTTCAACCCGTGAAACTCTTGCAAATGTTTAAAACGAGTTTGCGCGGCGCTAAGGCGAGAGCCACATTTTGAAAACCACCCGCCCTCCATCTGTGAAGCTGTTGCCACTTTTTATGGTTCAGAGTCATCAGTGGTGAGGAAATGTCAGGCGAAACGCCCGGCCTGCCCTAAAAACTGGCCTCACGATGCGACAGGGAGGAGCTATCTATAGGGAGAAAGAATGTGGAGGAGGAGGACAGAGGAGGATAAGGACAGAGGACGAGGAGGAGGAGGAGGAGGACAACGAGGGGGAAGGAGGAGGAGGAGGAGGAGGAGGAGGAGGAGGAGAAGGAGGAGGAGGAGGAGGGGGGATGAGGAGGAGGGAAGATCCCCAGGAGGGAATGGGCAGGAGGTGGATGAAGAGGCCAGGGGATGCGGGTCCGGGATAGATGGCCAGGATGAGGAGGACAGTCGAAGCATCGAATTTTTGAAGGGTTGAACGCGTGTGTTTCGGAAGCGGCTCGATCGTCCTCGGGTGCCTTCAATTGGGAGACCCAGCCGTGAACCCAAACCAACGCACATCGCGACATGATTCGTGGCTTCTTTCCTGATTCGGGGATACTTTCAGCGATAATGTGGTAGTTATCCGGATTGATTTTGGGGGAGGAGGAAGCGGATACGGAGGAGGAGGAGGAGGAGGAGGAGGAGGAGGGAGGAGGAGGAGGAGGATTGGACCGACACACTTGAAGTCAGCGACATGGTCGAGTATGGAAATTAAAATGGAGCGCCGCGATCGGACATCGCCTGCCACTGTTGCCGACGTGAGCTACGCGACCCGTGGCATACGCAGGTCAGTGCCCCCCTCCAGCAGCGGGACGCACCGACGGGGCGTCTCCGCTGGACCTCTGGGTCGCGGCCGCGCTGAGTCTGCCCGAGCGGGCACGCCCTCCGGGCACCGCGCGTGGGAAGAGGGGGGCGGCGAGGAGCGAAGGGCAGGACAGCGCCGCACCGGCAGCACGCCAGCCGCAAACGTCGGCAGACACGCACCATTGGCGAAGTGAGAAAATGACGCCAAAAAAGTAGTATCATCAGACCTGGCTCCAGAGAAGAGGATGGGCAAACGGCGTACACAGCATCGGTTCCGAACTGATGCGGCGGGAGGAGGAGGGAGCAGGGTAGGAAGCAGGCGCCGCCAGATCAGACCTTCATCTGCTTAACATGCGGGCCTGCGATTTTCTCTCCCGCTTCGACGCTAACGCTGCGCCCAGCACCCTCGCTCCCCCCGCCAGCTCCCACACGCGCACGATAGTCTCCACCATCTCCTTGAAAGGGTCGCCCCCCTCCAAGAGGCGGAATCTCGGCACCGGTTGCCTTTGTTGCGCGTCTTGTCCCCCCTGAACTCGAGCACCTCCCGCTTCAATTTCTTGGGGCGTCGTACTTCTGCAGGAGGTCGTACTCCGGCGGGTTCGCCCCCATCTCCTTCGCGAAGCTGGGCTGCCCAACGAGCGTTGCCGCGATCAGCGCGTGGTGGCTGTGCACTCCATGCGCGCGTCCCTGTTGGCCTGCCGCCTTCTTGTTATACTCGCCCACCGCCCAACGCATCCCGCCATAGAAGTTCTCGCCCACGTCCCCGGGTATCAGGAACTTCCGGTATAAGGACGCAGCACGATTCCGGGATTCTGTCGCCACGGACGTTTGGAAGCCGAGTCGTTCTCTTCTTGGCCTGTCCGCGCTTGCTTCGCGGGGCCGCCCTCCTTTCCCCTTCGGCTTCGGCAGGAAGTCTTTGTAGGCCTCGCTCCTCGCGACCTGCACGTGCTTTGGAGCAGAGTCGCGAGCGGCGACCTCCGAGTTTTTATGTTTAGGTCATTGTTCTTTCCCCTCAGTTTGGCAAATCCACATCGTGGCGAAAAACGCAGCCACTCCCGGAGCAACACCCCCGACGGATATCGGGGCTCAAGAGACGGAGGTCAATGCAAACGGGGCTCAGTCAGAGCGCCAGATTTTGCAGCATCCTGCAGGGCCAGGGGCGCACAAATCCGGGTTGGATTGCAGGATCCCGAAGGATCCTGCAGGATTTTGCAAGGCCCGACTGACCCGGGTTTGCATTGACCCAGGTCAGTGAGTCCCCGAGGATAGTTAGATGTCTCGTGATGTTCACCAGCGTTCGGGCGTGAAGAAAATTCAGCATACCATACGCAACATTGGTTGGTAGCAGTGGCCCTCGCCCCCAGAGCAATGTCGCCATGGCTGGAAGACGACTCTCATTTTGATTCTTTCAGAGTGCCCCAAGCGAAGGGACAACGCCGCCGCAGCGTCCTGTGTCAAGGCTGGGCAGGTCGCGAACGAAGGGCGGTGCGCCAACTTGATCAGCGACTCGATCCTGACGAACATATGTGTTCGGGTATCCTGGTGGTGAAATGGCCACCGTGCGAGTGCGTGCAAGTAAAATGCGAGGATCAATCCTTTGAACACGGGCGGCAACGTCCTCGTCGAAAATCAGGTGAGCAGAATGACGGTAACAACGTGCAGCGACATCTTCATATTCGGAATTGCAAGATACTGCATCCAAGTCCTCGAAATTTTCCTGGCCCATGCGCCGGGAAGTATATTGCCCTGGGCGCTGTCAATATTCATGGCGCAGAGCTGCCAGACGTAGAACACGTAACATGGTACCACTGTGTACGTTCAATCTTAAGCGCGACTTCGGCCTAGCAAAACTTCAGGGCCCAGCGAGCGTCCTTGGTGGAAGACGCGACGGATGGCCAGGGGAGCACTTCAGGAGGCGCGCCATCAAGATGCGACGGCTCATGTCACTCCAAGCATCGTCGATCATGCAGAACAGTAAACTCACGGGTCGAATGAGCCCCAAAACCCTCTGAAGCGGCCGAAATTCCGACGAACGGCCCCGAGATTCTTCGCGCGTAGGGTGCTGAAGCTGCACCGAATGTTTCTCCGTCCGCCCAAATGTCGTGCAGCAGAAACGACCTGCCCAGGAAATCCATAAGGACCAACAAAAAGCTCGACGAAAAGCGCGTTGAGAACCAGGGCCAACAGAATTGACGACGCCCTCGCGCTCCCCCCAGTGCTGCACTATCGAAGGGACTCCAGCGGAGCTCAAGAGAGCCTGATCAAGACGCTCACATGCAAGACGGCACCGAAGCAGAGCGGTGGGGAACGCGTCGACCACCATTGTTGTCTTCGTACCGCCAGCTAACGTAGACGTACCAACCTCCGCCCGGCGCGTGGCGCCGCAGAACACAAGCGGGGAAACAATACGGAGGTCGGCGAGACTGCTCACATACTGGTCCATCTTGGGATGTAGCACGCCAGCC